GTCAAGTATTGAAGACGGCACACCTTAATACTTTTGGGGATTACCTCCCCCTCACACGTTATGATGACTCCCTGGGTCATCAATACTTTTACTTTCACTCGCCTGACGTGCAAGACGCGTTCATTGTACGTCATTTCTTCTGTTTCGATTTTCCTTAATTCATCGAACACAATGACGTTTGTACATTTCCCTTTTCCCAAAATCCTTCGTTGCCCCGGTGGTTGTTAGACAGTCAAGAATTTGTTTGCTATTGCATTTTACGTACATATCATTTCTCCCAATGTTTAGTTCTATTTGATTCCTTTGTCTTCCCGAACACACAACGCTCGATCTGACTTGCCTGTGTAAATACAAACCCACATACACGGGTCGCCCTTACAACCCATCTGTGAATGTGCGTAGTTTTTTTTTCACTTATTTTGCTTTCACTGTATAGTTTTTGGATCTCTTTACTATCCAAGCCTAATGATTATAAGAACATTTTCACGCACTGATGCAATATGCAGTCGGCTGGTCTGTGAGGACATTAAATGTCAAGGTAACACGAATCCTTCAAGGACAGGTCAAGGTCACGAGAAGTCCTCACGTTATGGTGACGAGGCATTGGCTGATGAGAGAGAGAGAGAGAAAAAGAGAGAGAGAGAGAGAGAGAGAGAGAGAGAGAGAGAGAGAGAGAGAGAGAGAGAGAGAGAGAGAGAGAGAGAGAGTGTGAGTGAGTGAGTGAGAGAGGAGAGAGAGAGTGAGTGAGAGAGAGAGAGAGAGAGTGTGAGTGAGTGAGATAGAGATAGAGATAGAGAGGGAGGGTGGGAGGAAGAGAAAGAGAGTGGGGGTGAGGCAGAGAAAGAGAGTGGTGGTGAGGCAGAGATAGATAGATAGATAGATAGATAGATAGACCGAGACAGAAACATAGACACAGAGAAACAAAGGCAGACATAAAGACAAACAGACATAGATAGACAGACGTAAAAAGAGAGAGAAACTGGCAGCAGAATGAAAGCCTGGCTAGTGAAGCGAAAGGGCAGTGACACTCCCCTGCCTGGCATTAGGGCAGCCCCGGGAACAGCACGCTAGAACACACTGCAGCACCTCAATGAACGTCAACACACTTGCTCCCAGTAATAATCCCAGCACGCCGCCTGAAGAGAATGAAAGTAACATATTGTGTATATACGTACTGTGTTGTACACGCCTTATACATATAGTGTGTGTTATGTATTTTATGAATATTTCTAAATGTATACAGTATATTTCATGCGTTGGTCTAAATGTATACAGTCTATTTCGTGCGTTAGTCTAAATGTATACAGTCTATTTCATGCGTTGGTCTGTTTGTATGTGTGTGAGTTTGTGTGTACGTGTATAATTTTCTCGTTTCATATCTGAAGAACAATAAGAACGTTCACTGACACTCACCTATATCACACATGAGAGGTATGAGTGTGTATGCCCACTCCTCTGTCACTACTTGGTACGTGAGATCCTGGACAGTGGAGAGAGAGAAAGAAAATAAATAAAAAGAAATTAAATCAATATTAAACATTACTATATCGAAACTACGCATGGTTATTCGATTGAAACAGTTTATACACTACGAAATTTTTTATGTTTTATGGTCGCTTGTTTCCACCCCAGAATATCTTGATACATTCGCAGATTTAGTATGAAAGCTTAGTTCTAATGTCTCTATTATGGTCCATACAACTGCTTTAACAAAGGATTCTAGCCTTTAAGTCGAGGGGCGGAAGACAGTTTCTCTGGGGTTATTAAATCTCGCTTATCCCCCTACATTTCCGTACAGGGGAAATTATTCCTTACGACCAATTCGCAAAAAGGCTAGAGTTCAGTTTCCCATGAATCCTTAACGAGAAGAAAAACAAAATAGATGATCAGTGGTTGCTCAGCGAGGAAACGAACTAAAGGCTTGTAGAGAGAAGGGGGACATGGCGAAAGTACTCCTAAGGATTGCCAAATGGGATTCACTGTACCTCGTGGATACTTAATCATGGCGTTTTCGGGGTAACTGTAGCGTTTGTGTTTCATCTACACGACGTGGGTCACTGCTCAAAAAAATGATCGTAAGAGTATTCCTAGTAACGCATTCGTCTCGACAACAACAACTACCAAAAAAGCGAGAAAAAAGGAGTATCAATACTACAAATATTTAGCAGCTTAATTTCTACAGTAGCAATAATGTCATTACTATAAAAAACTCTACGGATCACAGTACCATGTTTCAACTATAATTATATGCTTCATCATCGCATGTTTTAGTGACCGTCAGTTTCAGAGCTTTAATGTAACGTATAGCTGGCTATCTGTTCTTCTTTCTCTTTATCTTTATCACGCACACACGAGCGACACACACACACACACACACACACACACACACACACACACACACACACACACACACACATATACACACGCACATACATACATATACACACGCACATACATAGATACACACACAGACCCACACATACACATATATATATATCCATACATATAGATAGATACAGACAGACAAACAGAAAGAGAACCGGCACAGAGATAATACTTAAAAGAGATAAAGACATCAAAAGTTTGATAAGTCACAAACGCACCAGCTGTACAGAGACCAGACGGCTATCGTTCATTTTCCCAATCAGGTCACGAGTTAAACAGACATTACTTTCCCATCAACGGTAGTGTGTTGTAGAACTTCCGTAGGGACTGACTGACTCCCTTGCCTTCAATTTGTTTCGAAAGTGTTAGGGTCGTTATTCCTGTTTATTCCCGTTCTGTTCCCGACTTTACATACAATCATTCCGTTTTTTTTATTATCATAGTTTCCCCCTCTCATATCGTTATACGTATATAACTATTTAGTTTTTTTATTTAGTTTTTTTACTTTATTCTATCTTTTTCCTTTTTATTTTTTTTTTTTTACGTTCTTAGCATCATTTCCAGTTTGTTAATACCCAGGACTCCCAGTAATAGATTTTTATGCACGGTTAATCTGATTTTTAGTGATGATGCCCTGGACTGAGGGCGGTGATAATCGCGATTTTTAGATCGAATGTAACCCCGGCAAAAATGAAGAAGAAGAAGTTGATGATGAAGAAGAAAGAGAATAATAAAAAAAAAAAAAAAAAAAAAAAAAAATACAGAAGAAAGAAGAGAGAAGATGATGATGAGGATGATAACAATAATGATAACAATAATAACAATGATAATAATAATAATAATAATAATAATAATAACAATAATAATGATAATAATAATAATAATAATAATAATAATAATAATAACAATAATAATAATAATAATAATAATAATAACAATAATAATAACAATAATAATAATAATAATAATAAAGATAGAAGAAAGGAGAAAGAAGGAAGAAGAAAATAAAAAATAAAAGAAGAGAAAAAATATAAAAAACACACTTACAGTTGTATTAAACCATAATACAGACAGAAGAAGAAAGAAGAAAGAAAGAAGAAAAGAAAAAAGAAGAAAAAAAAATATAAAACACATCCACAGTTGTATTAAACATGGTTGACAGCTCCACGAGCCACATTAACTAAAACATCAACGATAACTCTAACTACTAAAATCATTATCACTGTGATAACTATCAGAACGTAAAAAAAACACTAACAACACCGAAATATTCACTTTATCTAGACTTACGTTGTAAAATATCCTGATTCTTGTGGTGTCTGCCTCAACCTCTCTCGAGTCACTGTAAGTCTCGTAAGTGACGTCATCACAGGCACTCGGGCACTTGCAACCGCCCCTCGTCTGTTATGGGGAAGATTTCAGTTATTTTTTAGGGATTTCTAGATATACATTTGGACGTTCTGAACATTTTCACAATATAAGAGATGTATTTGAACGATTTCGATATATTTCTGGCGAAGGTTTAATCGAAACCGGTCAAGTACATGTCTAGTATTGTGAAGATGTTCATTCTCATTCATACCTTTTCTATATTTGTGCTGCATTTTTTGTGATTGGTGCAATTATTATTTATCATCATTGACACTGGCATTATCACAAGTACTCCATGTTATCATCATTGACACTGGCATTATCACAAGTCCTACCATGTTGATGACGCTTCTAAGTTACTTCACTTTACTAGCAATTTTGGGAACTATCACCTCCCTCTTGTTACCACTTCTACTATTACTATTATAGCGAAGAAACAGCAACAGCGACTAATGCTGCTATTAATACTATCACTACTTAGTACATTTATGGCCAAGCTGTTGTTAAAGTTATTAATGGTGTTATATTACAACTGCTCATCATACTGGTACCTCTTCTACCATTGCGAATATCCCTTTCAACTACTGCAACCATACCACCGCATTTACTACCATGCATTAACTATCCGCTACCTGTATAGCACACAAGAGAACAAACAAACTACGAATTACCACAGCTTTAAACTGAAAACAAACGACACACACAAAACAACACAAAAGATAAAAGACAAAATTAGCATCAACAACGAGAAAAAACCCTTCGAAACACACAAAGCAAACCCGAAAATTAACATCAACGAAAACGGATAAAAAAAGAAAGAAAGAAAAAGACCAGACCCAATTTCCTCCATAAAGCAGCGTGTCGACGAACTCCAAACTGAAACTGTACTGCTCGGCGGAGGCACAGGGGGCGGCGCTCCCCGGGGTCATGAAGGGCAGCCAGCACCCTCCTCCTTCAGAAAAGGCCCTCTCGAAACACCCCAGCTCGCAGTCCCGGTCGGAGTACCCGGCCTGGGTCTCGCAAGGGCTCGTCCTGGTGTTTAAGGTGTTGAACTGCGGGGGAGAGGTGGAGGAGAGAGAGGTTAGGAGGGAGGGAGGGATGAAAGGAGGGAGGGAGGAAAGGAGGCAGGGAGGAAAGGAGGGAGGGAGGAAAGGAAGGAGGGAGGAAAGGAAGGAGGGAGGAAAGGAAGGAGGGAGGAAAGGAAGGAGGGAGGAAAGGAAGGAGGGAGGAAAGGAAGGAGGGAGGAAAGGAAGGAGGGAGGAAAGGAAGGAGGGAGGGAGGAAAGGAGGGAGGGAGGGAGGGAAGAAAAAAAAGGGAGGGAGGGAGGGAGGGAGGGAGGGAGGGAGGAAAGGAGGGAGGGAGAGGAGGAAAGGAGAAAGGAGGGAGGGAGAGAAGAAGGAAAGGAGAAAGGAGGGAGGGAGAGAAGAAGGAAAGGAGAAAGGAGGGAGAGAAGAAGGAAAGGAGAAAGGAGGGAGGGAGAGAAGAAGGAAAGGAGAAAGGAGGGAGGGAGAGAAGAAGGAAAGGAGAAAGGAGGGAGGGAGAGAAGAAGGAAAGGAGAAAGGAGGGAGGGAGAGAAGAAGGAAAGGAGAAAGGAAGGAAGGGAGAGAAGAAGGAAAGGAGAAAGGAAGGAAGGAGAGAGGAAAGACGGGAGAGGGGGGAGATCGGGAGTGAAAGAGAGGGAGGTTTGGAGGGAGGGGGGAGGAAGAGAGAGGTTTGGAGGGAGGGAAGGAGGAAGAGAGGGGTTGGGAGGGAGGGAGGAAGAGAGGGGTTGGGAGGGAGGGAGGAAGAGAGGGAGGAGGGAGAAGAGAGAAGGAAGGAAGGGAGGGAGAGGGACGAAGGAAAGGAGTAGGGAACCGGAGAAGTCGGGAGGTTATGTAAGAAAGAGAAGGAGAGGGAAGAAGAGGGAAGGGAAGAGAGGAAGAGAGGTTGGGATATAAGTCAACGTATGGAACAATGTGGACCAGAACAGACCCCAGTAACACCATAGCACGTACTTTTATTAACTTCATCCATGCCCATATGAATACCCAAAATAGACGCATACATATAAACACACACACACACATACATACACACCCTCTCCCTCTCTCCCTCTTTCCCCTTCCCTCTCCTTCTCCCTTTCCCCCTCCCCCTCCCTCTCCCTCTCCCCCTCTCTCTCCCTCTCCCTCTCCTCCTCCCTCTCTCTCACTCCTCCCTCTCCCTTACCTGCTTCATGGTGACCTGTATATCCGGATTCCACTTCGGATAAACAGACTTCCCTTCCGTCACCACCCTGAGCGAGACGCTGCCTTCGGTGTTGTGGAGGAGGAGGCGCCACCCTTCCTCGTCGCCTTCCCTAGTGGGCGGTACCTTCAGGCGGGCGTAGAAGTTGTTGAAGAGACCCGACGCCCCCACGGCCTTGTCTGGCGAGGAGCTTGGAGATTGGTGGTGGTAGTAGTGGTGGTGGTGGGGGTGGTGGTGGGGGTGGTGGTGGGGGTGGGGGTGGGGGGGGGTGGTGGGGGTGGTGGTGGGGGTGGTGGTGGTGGTGGGGGTGGTGGTGGTGGTGGGGGTGGCGGTGTTGGTGTTGCTGTTGTTGTTGTTGGTGGTGGTGCTGTTGTTGGTAGTGGTGTTGGTGGTGGTGCTTGTGGTGGTGGTGGTGGTGGTGTTGTTGTTGTTGTTGTTGTTGTTGTTGTTGTTAGTGTTAGTGGTATTGTTCTTATTGGTGGTAGTACTATTATTACTATTACTTCTATCACTACTATAAAGAAAAAGAAAAAAAGAAAAAAAAAAGTAAGAAAAATAATATTCCTCAGAAATGATATTTTGGTGCTGGATGCAAATGAAACGCATTAAGGGCGTGTCTCAGATTCTCTATTGACTTTGACTATGAGGCATTAAGAACGTTCTCTGAGGTGTTCTTAATCACCTAATCGAAGCCAAGACGCCAGTGAAATTAACGGATCCGACAAAGGGCGTTTAGGGCGTCCACGGAATGAAATTTGAGGAACATTATTTGGAATTGATGGCAACAATTAATGGTATTAAGGGAGTCTCTAATATGGGGCATAACTACTCCTCAAGATTAGTGTAACATTGGTATGAACACTGTCTAATAACTGTACCAAATTAATTGTTATCTTGGCGATGACGTGTAATATTATCAAAATGATTGCGTTCGTATCGTACTCAACTTTGTTTTTCTTCATGTTACTTAAATGAAATGGTCTGAAAAAAAAAAAAAAAAAAAATTGATCTTTGTCTTACCTCATTTTGATTAAATTTCTGGGAGGATCAACACCTTTCTTTTTTTCGTTTTTCTCCTCATCAGTCTTTTTCTCTCTTTCTCCTCATTTTTTTGCCTCTCTCCAATTCGCTCTCATCCTCTCTCCTATCCATCTCTCCCTCTTCCTCCTTTTTTATTCCCTCTATCCTTCGTTCCCCCTCTCTGTCTGTCTCTGTCTCTTTGTCTGTTAGTCTTTCTCTATCTGTCTGTCTTCTACTCTCTTTATATTCTTCTGTATCCTCTCCTCCATCTCTTTCTTTATCTCTGTCCTTTCTTTCTACATCATTTTACATCATCATCATCTCTCTCTCTCTCTCTCGCTCCCTTCCCTCTATCTCTCTCTTCCAATCCTCTTTCCATCTCCCTTTTTTTCTTCCTTTATTCCCTCTTCCTTCGCACTCCCTCTCTTCCCTTCCCTTTCCTCAATTTCCCCCACCCCCTCTCTTCCCTTCCGTCACTCTCCCCCCATTATTCGCCCCTCTCGAGACAAAAGACCGTCCCAGCAACACACGTTAACCTTACCAAGACGTACTGGTACACAAAACCGTCGCGGTGGACGAGTGGCAGGAACCGTCCTTGGGAGTCACAGGTGCGGTTGCGGCCGAAGTAACACTGTCGAGGATAGAGCGGTTTCCTGGTCATTATTTTATTTTATTTAAATCATTATTTAATTTGTTATTTTATTCTTAATTCATTTTATCATATTTTTATTTTATCTATGCATTTCATTATATATCTTATTTATTTATCTGTTTTTTTTAATATATTTTTTATCGATTTATATTGTTATATATTTTTAAATATTAATCTTATATAATAGAATGAATAAAATACATAATCTAATTAATTTAATTATTTTGGTATTTATTTATTTGAGTGTGTGCGTGAGAATGAGAGAATGAGAGTGAGTTGAGACCGTGAGTGTGTGTGCAAGACCAAGACCTTACCTTCTTATCGATTATCCTCATCATCCAGTCTCTTATCATAGTCATTTCTCAAGCTAAACCCCTCATTGCTAAAATTCAGACTAAATTTCATTAGTCTGAATTACCCTTAATTACTTACATTAACTTGATTACTTTTATCAAAATCACAGAGTGAATCTCCAGTACATTTCGTATTTTCTCTAATTTATTCAGTTATTTATTTCAGAATAACTGATTCGTAATTTGATCTGGATTACATATTGAAATCCTTAAATCTTAATTTGATTTTTTTTTCAAATGCTGAAATTAATTATGTTCACTAAACACGATTATTTTAAATATAGATTGGAGAGAGGGAGAGGGAGAGGGAGAGGGAGGGAGAAGGAGAGGGAGAGAGAGAATGAGAGAGTGAGAGAGAGAGGGAGGGAGAAGGAGAGGGAGGGAGAAGGAGAGGGAGAGAGAGAATGAGAGAGTGAGAAGGAGAGGGAGAGAGAGAATGAGAGAGAGAGAGAGAGAAAGAGAGATGAGATGAGATACAAAGATACAGAGATTCCCGGATACCCGAAACCCCCAGAAACAAAAAGAGACAGAAATAAAACAAGAAGGAGATTAAAGAGACAACGGACACAAAGACACAACAGAGACAGAAGAACCAGAGCGAAAGAGATAAAGATAGAAAACAATAAGCAGAAAACGAGCCACGGAAGAAACGGCCCAATGGAAGGCGTCATCGGCTGCCTTGACCTCACCAGGTTAGTCATCGAGGAGGAAGCCGATCTCCCGCAGGAGGGTTCGTCCGTGGTGCGTCCCGCCAGGAGGTCCGCCAGCGTGACCTATGACCTCTCTGCCCGTCTGCCTCGCGTCGCCTATACGTTACGCCAGGGACCGCCTATGGGCTGAGGGCGGAGGGTTAGAGGTGTTAAATACACCACACATACACACATTACACACACACACATATTATTTATGCATATTTATGTATATATGTATGCATGTGTATGTTTATGTGCGTACATGTATATGTATATACGTATACAGGTATATGTATTATGTGTATATATTTGTATGTATGCATAAGACAGACAGATATAGATGTTCATACATATATACCCTGCTTTTCCTGGGTGTGTGTGTCTGTTCCCACGTATATACCAGCAAAAAAAGAATATTTTACATAAACACCTAACATTAATAATAAAACCTTTCCTTCTTGAATTCAGCGGCCACATAAATGGAATCAAACTGCAATTTATCGCGTAACAAAAACAGGTTGAAAAGCGGCGACTGGTTTTTTCAACGCCCGGGGAATAATCGCATTCTCGTAACAGCGACAAAAATCTGAGGAACTGTGTGGTATATGGTGCAATTTCCGCCTCTGTTTGTGTTCCCTGCATTTGGTCCGTCGCTGCATGTGTGTTTGTGTGGTTATATTTCTCTTTCTCTGTCTTTCTTTGTCTTTCTCTGTCTTTCTCTGTCTTTCTTTGTCTTTCTCTGCCTTTCTCTGTCTTTCTTTGTCTTTCTTTCTCTTTCTCGGTCTTTCTTTGTCTTTCTCGGTCTTTCTTTGTCTTTCTCGGTCTTTCTTTGTCTTTCTTTCTCTTT